TTTTTTTTTCAAAAATTACAAATTTATGAAGCTTATTATACAGGTAAACATCCAAAGGGATTGACGTATGTATTCCTTGACATATGGACCATAATGTGTTTGGGGGCTCGTCCGGGATTTGAGTGTGGATCTTTTCTTATGCACACTTACTTTATTGCTGGTACCACGCTGGGCCTCCTCTGCCTTCAGAACTGCCCTAATCTTCATGGGACAGCTGAATCCCATCAAAGATCTACTCAGCAGCTTTTATCGTGTAATTACGTTTTCCTTTTTCCTGTTTTTGAAATTTATTAATATGTACAGAGACAAATCTAGTGTGAAATTAACTGGTGTCTCAGAGGACAGACTCACAGACGAGACAATGAGGCTTCTGAAGTGAAATGTTGACGGATTGTCTCCTGATGAAGACGAGGAGGAGGAGGAGGAGGAAGTGGATATTAGATGACTGACAGGCAGAAAGTAAATAAAAAAGACAAATGAAGCCTGAAAGTGCTTCAGAGAATGAAGTGAATTTCCACTGAAGGCAGAAAACAATCAGCAGAAAAACCTGGACACGGTCAGAACCCCTCGGATCAATCAGAACTGCATCCAGCAGCTGGGCCATTGATTCGAGACAGCCAATAATTCAATACCGCCATTTAATGAGCTTCGGCTGCATTAAACTCTGCTACAACAACTTCTGCAGGTGCTTTAAAACAAAATGAAACTTTCTATTTCCTGAACAAAGCTCGGCTCTGAAAACCTTATATTTATGTTCATTTTTTCTTTTTTTATGAGTTAACAATCATCACAGACTGTGGAAATGCAATTATTGCACTTTTTTCCAGTTAAATGTGAAGAGGGTAATTAATTGGGTATCATCTGTGTAGTTTTAGGAAACATATTCTGAAATKTCCTCACTTGTCAAGTTTTCTGCATAAATCATGATCAATAAAAGCATTACAGAGTTGGAGACTACAATAACAAGAGGAAAAAACTTAAAGAAACAGTAAATTAATCAGAACATTGTTAGAAACCTTGAACATTTGTAAATAACAAAAT